GACTGCTCAAACTCTAGAACCGCGGTTTAGGGTTTAGGGTTTAGGGTTTAGGGTTTAGGGTTTAGGGTTTGGGGTTTGGGGTTTATTGATTGGTGTTTAGGGCTTGTTGCATATTATTAATAAACACTTCCTATCTATATTTATATTTGTATTTATATTTCTATTTATATTTATATTTATATCTATATTTATATTTATATTTGTATTTATATTTCTATTTATATTTATATTTATATTTATATTTATATTTATATTTATATTTATATTTATATTTATATACACATTTATACTCATATTTATTTATATAAATAATTTTATTTATTTATATTTATGTTTATAAATGTATTTTGCAAAATGCATTTCTTTGCATTTGCAAAAATGTAAAAATGCACTTTTAGATGAACTTGAGCATGTGCGTATATAAACGTTTTTTAGAAGCAAATAAATTAAATAAATAAATAAATAAATAAATAAATAACTATTACTGAATATACAAATACATAAATAAATAAATAAATAAATAAATAAATAAATGAATAAATAAATAAATAAATAAATAATAGGTGTTTTATAAGAGGAGTTGCTGCAGTCAAAGAAAGGCTTTCTCCTTTGAATTAGCAGTGTGTCCTTTGTGCTGCTGCTGCTGCTGCTGCTGCTGCTGCTGCTGCTGCTGCTGCTGCAGGTTTTGTGGGGAGACATTCCAGCAGCAGCAGCAGCAGAGACACTTTTGCTGCTGCCCTTTCAGCTGTCTGTACAGCCCGTCGAGGAGGTCACTGTCACGCTCCACTGTGGGGCCCTTCTCGAACCCCTCAGCAGCAGCAGCAGCAGCAGCAGCAGCAGCAGCAGCAGCGAATCCAGCAGCAGCAGCAGCAGCAGCAGCAGCAGCAGCAGCAGCAGCAGCAGCAACAGTGTCAGTATTACAGTGACCCCGCAGCAGTGGCGACAGGGAGGTGTTTTCCGTCTGTGGGCAAAGGACGACGGGGGTAAAGTCAAACCCTAAACTCTAAACCCTAAACCCTAAACCCTAAACTCTAAACCCTAAACCCTAAACCCTAAGATTAATCGCTACCTCAGCTCTTCAAACCCTGCTCTGAGTTTGAATGCTTTCTCTCTAGCCCTTGAAGTGGCCAGTGTGCTATCGCGTTTGCGGTTTAGGGTTTAGGGTTTGTGGCGTAGGGTTCAGGGTTTAGGGTTTAGGGTTTAGGGTTTAGGGTTTAGGGTTTAGGGTTTGGGTGCAGACACGTCTAGCGGCAGCAGCATGGCTTCTTGCGAAGTGGAAACGAGCTCAGGAGACAGTCGGTTTGTGTCTCCTCCGAGGGTTTCGAAAGGAGACAAAAATGCTACTGCTGCTGCTGCTGCTGCTGCTGCTGCTGCTGCTGCTGCTGCTGCTGCTGCTGAAAGAATTGAAATTTTAATTCACAAACAAAAATGCAAAGACAATAAACACCAACCCCACTGCCCCTGTCTCCCCGGCCAAGAGTGTTCTTTGGCCCGCAACGGCCCTTGCCCCGCGGGCACTTACAGGTCCCAAACCCTAAACCCTAAACCCTAAACCCTAAACCCTAAACCCTAGCTTGCATCCCGAGTTCCCGCTGCTGCTGCTGCGCCTCATGCCTGAGCAAGCACCTGTCGCAGGCTTCAGGGCCTAAGCCTTGCCCTCCAGAGCCCAGGGCCTAGGGTTTAGGGTTTAGGGTTTAGGGTTTAGGGTTTAGGGTTTAGGGTTTGCATGCAGGCTGCCGGGGACTGCAGCTTGCATGCAGTGCCCCGAAAACCACTTTTGTCCCCTCGGGGCCTTCAGCCCTTCCCCTTGTCCTTTTGGGGCTTTTGCGGGGCCCGGGGAGGCCACTTGTCACTGGGACCCGGAAGGTCAGTGCATGCATGCAAAACGCATGCAAAACGCATGCAAAACGCATGCAAAACGCATGCAAAACGCATGCAAAACGCATGCACGCATGAACGGAGTGGGGCTTGCAAGTGCAGGAAAAAAAAAAGGAAAAAACGCATGCAAAAATGATTGCAAAGAACCAAATATGCATGCGAAATGCATGCATGCAAAAGTGCATGCAAAAGTGCATGCAAAAATGCATGCAAGAGTGAACATGCATGCATGCAAGAGTGCAGGCAAGAATGCATGCAAGAGTGAACATGCATGCATGCATGCATGCAAGAGTGCATGCAAGAGTGAACATGCATGCATGCATGCATGCATGCATGCAAGAGTGCATGCAAGAATGCATGCAAGAGTGAACATGCATGCATGCATGCATGCATGCAAGAGTGCATGCAAGAGTGAACATGCATGCATGCATGCATGCATGCAAGAGTGCATGCAAGAGTGAACATGCATGCATGCATGCATGCATGCAAGAGTGCATGCACTGGTGCATGCAAGGAGTTGTTTGCATGCGTAGAAAAGCCGCAAGGCCCCGACAGCGAGGCCACGCCGCAAACCCTAAACCCTAAACCCTAAACCCTAAACCCTAAACCCTCGCTGCGTGGG